TCAAAAGTGGATGCTGGTTGTCACGACTGCCAAGTGCATGTTAAAAGATAGAGGAGCTGAGGCAGGGGCAGTAGCATAGCACTTTATAGCTGTGACGCACGAAGGTGACCAGGTAATGTCATTTCCAAAGCACATAAAGGGTCCTTGAATGATGGTGACATTCAATATACAATATCATTTTGTTACTGTTTTCCTGATATTAACTTGGTTTGCTCTACAGACTTTAAATGATTTCCTACTTAAGTTTGTCTCCAAATCAAAGAAGGAACTATCAGCCAGGTGATCTTAGGTCACTCTCCAAGCTACAGAAATTACTGGCAGCAATGTAAGTTGTGTGTGTGTGTGTGTGTAAGTATAGGGATAGGTTTCTTCAATTCCAACATATTAATTAATGTATATGTGCAAACTCCCTAAAACAGTGAACACTCCAAGAAATTTCTCCCTAAAGGTGCTAATGTTCATTTTGATTTGCAAAACCATGTAATGATGCTATGGTGAAAGAGTAGAGTTTCCCCCCCCCCCTCAGCATTTGTATATTAATAACTGATTTAACTAACATTCTGTATCTATGAGATAACGAGCTGGTGGCACTGATGGGTAAGCATTGAACTGTTAACTGCAAGGTTCTTGGTTCAAACCCACTGGCTGCTGCTCCTTACGGAACAATGAGGCTGTCTGCTTCTATAAAGATTTATAGCTTCAGAAACGTTATGTAAGGTTATTATGAGTAGGATCAACTTGAATAACAGTGATATTTTGGTTTATATTTATTAGAAATTCAAAAGTTCCTTTTTAGTATCTATATTAACATGGAACCTTAGAGAGAGAGAGAAAGAGAGAGAGAGAGCCTAGTTTTTCCAACCATGAACATATTTAACAAATGGACAAGTGTACCTGATATAGTGGGCTTTTTGTGGGAGAGATCCTTATCCAAGAACAGGCCTGTACTTAATGACGGTTCCCAGGAGGGTAAGTTCTGTCACTGGTCACAGTGGTGTTTGCAGCTGAATTCAGCGTGGAGGGGAGGAGACACAAACCTCGTGTAGATTGAGAGATGGTGTCTCGAGGTGTTCAGGAATAACAGCAGAGGGAAGCATTGCCTGCCTCCGGTCTCTTCCAGACTGAGAGACGAGGTCTAATCTGGTTGGTTCAGTCTGGTACATAGTGCTTTCATTTGGGCATTGGTTATCTGTTAAAGGGCATAAATGGCCCACAGGGTTGCTGTGTTGTCCATAGTGTTAGCCCGTGTCTCTAGGTTTGAGGCTGGTCAAGGTGGGAGTCACAGAATCAATGCTTGTTCACTTGTGGAGTAGATGAGTGACTAGTCCTGGGCAACTTCCAACTCTTCACCCACTTTTCTGTTGTCCGTCCTCCAGGGAGGAGGTCACACGTAGATCCTTGTAATTGGTTCCCCCTTTCCAACCCAC